CCTTCAAATTTCATAAAATTCTATAATTTTTATATAAATGTTTCTTAAACAACACAATGGCCACTGTCATCTGGAGGTATTATAAAATATTTGGGCTAGAGTTTTCCTTTGATTAATATTTAACTCAGTGAAAGGAAAGTTAATTTGTTTTTATAGACAAAAATATAGTAACGTCGAGAAGTTTTCTTAGCATAATTGCGAGGGAAGGTATTTTAATTTATTTCAGAACAAAGATTGCTTTGTTAAGCAATAAGAAAAGAAATTACTTTTCAATTTGTTGCCAGATGGAAAAATGAATTTCCTGTTGCTGCTCCTTTTATTTTTGTCACGTTGTTGATTTAGCCAGCTCAGCGTTTCAATCTGTACAGAATTCTTTCAGCGTTGCTTTTGTTCCATCTTTTTCAATGATTCAATGTTACAACTATAGCTACGGAAACAAGAAAATATCTAACAAACATAATTTAATCAAGCACGTAATATGGAAAGATTCGAAGTCGAGGAGAAAGTTACAAAACTAGCAATTTCATCGAATTTTCGCTGAAAATTTGGAATATATGAGGTATGAAATTTTTACAAATATCCTACACCGATCTAGAATTTCTTTTCAAAAAGAAGTGAAGAAATATATTATTTTTAATTTTAAGTGTTCCAAAATTGTAACTTAAATTTTTATCATGACACTTTACTGAATGTTATGACACCTTTTTTAATTTTACCATCAAAAATTATAGTTTTGGATACTCGTAGATAGACTGTGGATAGAAATTTAAATTTTTACGAAGACAATTGCGAAAACTAAAAAAGTAAAATTATAATTAAAATAAAAATAAAGTTATACTTCATTTTTGGATGTTATAGGCGTACATTTTTGTACTTTGAAATTTTCTACAAATCAGTTCATAATCTACTCGTAAATCGCATAAAAAGATACCACTGACTTTTTTTTCATACATTATGTATAATAGATTGCAAGAAACTTTACTATTTTCCCAGAGTTATTTCAACCTAACTCGAGATTTTCCAAACTGATCATTTCACGACAATAAAAGTAAAAATTTATACAATTTTCAGCCACACTAATACGTCTCCAACATTTTTCAATCTTCGGCAAAAAAACGAAAAAAATAAATAAATCTTCAAAGAAAAGAAAAAAATAAAAAAACAATGAAACAAATTCGATCAAAAAATAATAAACTAAAATTATTTCCATCAACTTACGCAACCTTACGAATTCCTATGTGAGCTTTTCAATGTCAAATGAAATTTAAATAAAATCGATTTATACAGTTTCCACTCACATTAGTGCAACTTTAAATTTTTTAAAATCCCTGTAATCCTCGATAAAAGGAAAATGGGATCAATCAAAGAATGCTAAACCGGTATTCTTACAAAACACAATCTTACGTAAATTTTCTCACGTCGAATCAAGTTCGGATAAAATTTCCACCCACGCGCAAATCATATTTTAAACATCTTCCAATCTTCAATAAAAAAAAGAGCAAACAATGGGTTCAATTCGATCAAGGAATGATAAACTAAAATTGTTTCGACTGACTTACGTAATCCTACAATTCTTTGCAAATTTTCTGATTCAAATTCAAATAAAATCGTTTTATATAATTTTTATCTACCCTATGTCAGATTTAGATATTATTTCTTCCAATCTTAGGTGAAAGAAAAAGTAGAAACCAAAGGGACAATGGAATCGATTCGATCAGAGAACGATAAACCAAAATACTCACGCAACTCTACGATCGTATGTAAATTTTTTCACGCTGAATAAAATTCGAGTAAAGTCGACTTATACAATCTCTGTCCACACCCACGTGCAATTCATATTTCAAACACCTTTCAACCTTCGACAAAAAAAAGAAAAAAAAAAATAAAGATAAAAGAACGAAAGAACAGTGCGAGATTGATTTGGTCAAAGAATGAGAAGCCAAAATTCTTACGCACACAACCCTACGATTCTATATAAATTTTTTGCACGTCAACACACGACACCAAATAAAATTCAAATAAAGTCGAATGACGCAGGTTGCTCAAACCTTTCGACGCAGAAACAATTTCGTCTTCCGTTTTCTTAAACAAGCGTGTGGTCATCGGCACGTCCTCTACCACGAACGATTTTACTCTCATGAATGAGCTATCGATTTTCCGAGTGTAGAAAAAGATTTTGTGAAAGAAGGGAGGGGAGATGAAGCGTTTTAACAAGCGAACCAGCTTGGTGAACGCTCGTTCGCAGACATTAGTTCTTCACTGTCGTTCATCCCGTTTCGAGGATTCGACGCGTCTGTATGTCTGATCCACGTTTAACTAGAAGTGCCTTCTCTATTTCATTTGTTTTTAATCGAGGAAAGAAATCGAGTACTGAAATTAATTAAAAGTAGCAGTCGTTGGATAATCTTCATTAACATTGAGTACTTGAAAGACATTGTGTAATTGTATAGTAGTTCTACTGTCTCGTTTGACTCCTTTGTTTGGAAGTAGTGTTTAATAGAGACGTTAAGAATGTCTCTGATGTGGATGAGTTACATGAAGAACAAGACCAAGAAGAAACACGTTCGTAGACGACGAGTAAGTGACAAGAATTACTTAGTGATTTATATAAAATTTTATGAACATTATCTGTTTATTTCTCTTATGCCAAGTTTGACATATTTAGCATTGCAACATTTCATTAATAATTTTTTATCAATCAATTGACGTTACTAAATTTTATTTTTTTTTTTTTAATGTAATAATAAATTCCAAAGATTGCTTAATATCCTTTTATCACCGTTTCGTCTACGTAGATTTTAGAATTTTACGAAAACTAAAGAAATTGTAGTATCTATGTAACATCACGATAAAATATTACGTAGTCCTTAATAGATTAATGCAGAATTTTGTTATTTGCTTCAATTTTTTACTTTACGATAAATTAATTTGTAAATATTTCAAATGATGACGGAATAATGTTATTAACATTGTACATTTGTCGTAAGTAGAAGGAAATGAAAGATTATACTATTTACCAAATTTATGAGACTTTTGAAAACAGTATGTTATACTTAGCGATAAAAATAGTGATAGACGTAAAGAACAATCTTCCAAACAGACATTACAATGAAGAAACATGTATTTTTAGATTATAAATGGCACGTTCCAATATTTGAAATATTTTAGATATATACTCGCTAATATAATATAAGAAATAATACATAATTATTATTTTGATGCATATGGTACATATTAATTTTACTATCAATTATCAACCACAAGATGATACTATAAATCATATATGTTCAACATTAAGAGAATTTGTAATAAAACTATCAAAACTTTATTATTAATCGCCATAAATAATCAGACAATTAAATTTATATTTGAAAATATTTTAGAAATATGCATTTGAACATTCTTTATTTCATCAAACATCAGACAATTTGTTTAACGCATAAATTAATTAAAAGAGACTGCAAATACAGCTTCATCCCAAGACACCGTAACTTTTTTAATGGAAAATATACTGCATAACATAGAAATAATTACATTAACTACTACATATATGATGATAAAATATGATTTAAAAAACGACACTTCATATGCATCAACGCAATAATTTTGGTCGGGATAAATTTATAAAAATTGCCAGTTCCAACATTCAATTTTCAACATCGTAAAGCCAAAAAACGAAGAAAAAACAAAACGCGATCAAGAAGGAATGCGAAATTTCGATTTCACTGGAAATTCAATTGAAATCCATTCTCCCTGATCGTTCGAGCCAGAGCGCGTGACGCATTTATATTTTCGAAGAGGGTTGCACGTTTCAGCGAGACAAAACGGGGCATCAGCCCTTCGACGAACGAACGACGAAAGACAAAGGGCAACAGTCGTCGTTCTCACCCGCGCATCATTCTTCTTTCACACTGACTCGCCTCGTCGCACAAATTTTTCTCGTTAAACGTGCTTAACCAGCCTGCTGCTGGCCAACGAACATCGGTTTGAGTTATTTCCAGCAATCCATTAATTCCCGTCGTTACTTGAACGCACGAAATGAAAATTTACCAGACCGCGAACAAAACTTTGACATCCTGTCGCGACTCGTCAACGTCCGAAATGGAAAGAAATAACACGAGAGGTGAAGAAGTTTCTTCCTCAATTGCTTCCGTCTTTTTCTTAATCAATCACGAGATTGCCTTTGTCAGTCTTTAGTTTTTCCCCTTCTTCTTTCTCTTGAAAAGAAAAGGGAAGGGGAAATAATCAATTGTAAGTAGAGTGCGGATTTTCATGCAAATTCATATTTCTATATCTAATTAAAGATATAGAACCGTCGTAGCCGAAATGTCGTAAAAAAAAACACTGTACTTTGGATATTTTACATATTTTTTTTTATATTATCCGCACAGTGTGCAACTTTCCGGAATTACAAAATTTCCTTTAAATATCTCTTTTCTTCTTTCTGGAGCAAGAAGAATAGAAACAATTATCTCAGAAAGCTCGCGCTCTTTTCTTTTTCTCTGTTCTTAAGAGAAAAGAAACATAATCAATTATGAGATTATCTTTGAAAGTCTTCTCTCTGTCTCTCTCTCTCTCTCTCTCTCTCTCTCTTTTTTCGTTTTCGAGGAGAAAAAAAAGAACGATTTCTTGAGGAACAGGTGTGGTTTGCGCGCTCCTCGATCTGACGGTTTATAAATATAACCGTAGCTTAGAAAGCGAATACACATATATGCATACATGCGCGTGCACCTCTGGCCAGAACGCTCGAATGCAGATTAGAAACTATACACTTTTCTTTTCTCTGTTTGAAGAAGATTTTAATGTGTTTGTTCGCCGACCGAATGATTGTTTAAATGTTGAGAAGATTCGACTTGATTATTTGTGGAAGAGTGAGCCTGCTGAACTGATTCAAGTCAACAATGATAGATCAGTTCAGTTGATTTTGATGAAAAAGTCTTCTTACGTGGTACGATATAAATGGTGATTAATTTTATACGTGACGTTCGTTCGTGCTATAGATGAGAGACGATCGAAGGACATCAATGGAAGGCGAGAGACTTAGCAACAACAGCGGAGGAATAATCGACGGAAACGGAAGTCGTCCTCTTTCACAAACCTCCAGCGAAATGGACACTCTTGGACCATTGCAACCAGTCAAACATCGTGAAAAGGCAAAACTGCAGGTACATATATTACATATGATCAGATTTTTCCAATAATTCTTGGATAACGGGCAGTTTTATAGATACTCGATTTGCCGTGGCTGGGTCAGATTTGACTCAATAGTGCATTCAAAGGCAAATTTTCATAGTAGAGATTTTTCTTTTATTGAGTGCATTATTTTTCAAAGTTATTCTATAATAACTATAATGTAATAATTCTATAACAATATACTGTAATATAATAATTGAGGAGATGAATATATTTTCCTAATGTATATTTATTTTACAATTGTGCAATTGAGTCCAAGAGTCAATTCCTTGAGGCTTAGGAATTCGCAATAATATACTGTCGCTTAAATTTTGGAAAATGAGATAGTAAAATAATATCCAAGTAACTGTTTCTGATATAAAATAATATTTCGGATATTTATAACCGGTTATTCATGCATTGCAACTCTGTCAAACATTAATGATGTTGGCAAGTAAGAAGCTTCACCGTCGACTACGTCATTGATCATAAATGACATGTCAGGGTCATTAAAGTATGTCAATGGATTTTCCAATTGACGATAGCTGTAAAGATAATAATGAAGTCATTGCAGAAGCAGTTTTGCCACCTGTGTACACTGTATACTGTGTGCGTTGTTTTATTAGATATTTGAATTCACTGCAAGATATTATATTGTGAAAAATATTCCTCAATCAAGTTAAATTAACATATTGATTGCCACCGTGGTATCAATAGCAAATATTTAAGAATATATCATATTATTATTATTATTATTTTATTGTTATTGAATCTCGTGATTAAAATAATCATTCTTAAATATTTTCGACTATCATCGACAGAGAGATTTTAAACAATATAAACAACTAGATAACATGCATTCACTTTTACATATTGTAACATAATTTCCACACAATTCAATATTCCATCCCGTATAAATTTCACATATTAGATTAAATTAAATCTAGTCAAACAATTTTGTCTGAATATTTTTGACCGATGGCATGTGTATTAAAACGGAATGATTCGCGTGTACCATTCTGAATTCTATTTTTCACGCATTTCGACGCGTAACAGTATTATCGTTCAGTCTGACAGTTAGTTTCACGGTTCGTAAATTCAACGATTTATGGGCGCAGAGGCCGCTTACGAGATACCTTCCCATCAAGTCGGAGTCGCTGGACCTGAGGCATCATATTGAGACTGCCGGGCACCAGTTACCTCTAATACACGATGTCACGGTCGATACGACCAGTTGCAGTGGTTACTTGTCAAAAATGAGCAAGAAGTTCCATCACTGGAACAAACGGTGGTTCGTCTTTGACCGGAAGAGGAAGACATTGTCGTATTACAGCGACAGCTCGTCCAGAAAGGCGCGAGGGGTGATATATTTCCAGGTATATATATTTATTTATATGGGAATTATGTTATAAATCAAATAATACATTATTTAATAAAATATCGAACGAATATAGTGAATAATAAATTTTTATATCATTCATCTACATTAAATTGTACGTCCTTGCTCAAAAGTTTTAAGACTGTTATTCTTGGTCCCTGAAGAAAACGATCAATTTTTCCGTGGAATCTAATATTGGTATTATTATACTTGCGACCACTTAATTCAAAGAGTCAAGTGGGTTAAAACGCGACTTGTACTCATAAAAACTGAAATGAGATAAACGAAGAGTTCACTGCGTGTAGTGCAACGCATGATGGCACTGTGTTTGTAAAACTCGTGAAGCTTTTTTATTAAAATTTATTATAAAATTATTATAAAATAATGCGAAATGTTCTTTTATGTTTAGTCGATCGAAGAAGTCTACGTGGACCACATGAATACCGTACGATCGCCGCAGCCATCACTGACTTTCATCATCAAAACGTCGTCTAGACTGTATCATTTAATGGCCCCGAGTCCAGAGGCAATGAGAGTTTGGGTGGACGTTGTGTTCACTGGCGCCGAGGGATATCATGAATTTGATCATGGTATCTGATAGATCAACCGTTCTTACATTTCTGGTCGAGATTCGTTTTACTCTCAAGGATCGTGATAACATGATTCCTCGCCTGTAGCCTGCAGGTTCAGAAAACGAGCTTCGTGATCGTTCAAAGATACAATTTGTCACGAATCGAACTACAGCCGCCTACACTTTGAAACTGGATTTGACTTGGACGTCAAAGACACAAGGATCTTGAATTTTATGGAATTGATGGTTATATGGGTCTTGAATTTGATAGAAATTGATGGTTATATCGATACTAAATCCACTCAATTAGATAATTGTACATAAAAATAAATCCAAAGAAAATTGCTAGAGACAAAAACTTAGCATGAAACTCTGATGTATTGGATTCAATGATGATAAATTGATAAATTTTATATCGATACCAAATCTACTCAATTAGGCTGTAAATCCAAATTACATTTATTCATTAATTGCAAAAATTACTGAAAACAAAAGCGGATATCATAGATAATGATAAAAACTTTAATGTTTTGGTATAATAATAATAACAATGATAAATTGATAGATGATTTATGTGATCTGCTTGATTCGATAGGAAAATTTTGTATCGATGATGGAAACAATTATATTTGTTAAAAGATGAGAACATTGTACGTCATATAAAAACAATTACTCATTGAAGTGCAGGCTGATCACGACTTGATTCTATTTGAACAAAGTGGTTGAATTTTATAGAATTTACTGTTAAACTTTGTTTAGACATTATTAATCTAGTCTTCCAGAATAACTACTTTCACGGATAATAATGAGTTAATGTCCCAACGTTTGATGAAGAAAATCTACAATGATATGAACGTGTATTCTGGTATAAACCAGAGACAAAGTCCTTAAAAAATAAATATGTAAATATGCCCCATTTTACATTTTACAGTTACACTTTAACGATTTAAATAAGTATCTTAATATTGCTTAATGCCAAGGATTATATGAAATAAAATCTTCTATATCTCTTTGTATATCCAAAGGAACTTCTAGAACACATACATATAATGATTTTTCACGATTCTCATATTTACATATTGATCTTTCAATTCTAGAAATGATTGTAGAACTTTTACATGTCCCTCGTTAAATAACAAAGTTATTACAGTCCTTAGATATTAATTTTCGTTAGCACTATTAATAAACGCACTTCGTAATGACACAAATTATGAATATTCCCCGACACGTGTAATGTTCGTCTTTATAACTTTTTTAATCAACAAATAAGTCTGAATTTTGATTAATGTTTAAAGGCTGAAAGAGCTTATAAATATAACAAGGTTTATCAAAATTGAAAAATGTGTTCGCGACCGATTTTCATCAACTGCCTTATATTATAAATCGAGGAATATCTGTAGTTGGTGTACAGATTGTCGAATATCCCGTAGAATTTTATGACACAGTTACATATATATAAATAATCATTCAAGCACAAAAAAATCGCGATCGATCAAACTATTTTATAAAAGTTTCGAATCATTTTACTTTGTCTGTTGGAATTATTACATTTTTACAATTTAATTATTATATATATCTTGTAATTGAATTTTTGCTAAAAATTATATCGTTAGAGTAAAATAAATTATAAATTATATTATGTACTGTGCGTATGATATTTTTGGATACATTTACAAAAGATATTAAAAGGCTCTTTATTAATGAACTATTCACCTTATAACGAATGTATAAATACCTAAGTATTTTAGGAATAAGTATCTTGTATAATAAAATAAAAATATTTACGAACACCTTAATTGTTGTTGATTTTTTTTCAAAAATTTCTTATTCCAAGAAAAGCGATACTTTTACTTCATTAAATTTTTTATTAACTTAAATAATGTGACATCATAGTGGGAATTAAAATCAAACATAACAACTATTTCTTTCGAAAATAAATTCAACCATTTTATTAACTGATTTCAATGATTTTTAAATATCTATCTCATCTATGATACTTATGCTGAAGACGATCATTCGGCATACTAAAAAATTGAAGAATTTCAGCTTAAATAAATTTTATTAAAAATTCGATATAATATGAGAAAAATTAAAGAGAAGAATAAAGAACAGCCCTCTTATTTACAAATATAATCATTGTAGAAAAAATAATTAATTCTAAACTTTCTAAAATATTCTTCTACGAAAAATGCATAAATTCGGATGAAATATTTTTCATACACTTATAAATCAATCACTTATCTGTTAAAAATATACAATATTTTTCATTACTTTAATGGATATGTAAATCTAATACAAACACCTTAATTAGGATCCAATTGGTTCATATTATTTGTTATATAATTATACCAATTATATAATTAATTGTTTAACTATATAATAATACAATTAGTAATTATATATCAAATAATTATATATAAAATAAAAACCAATTGCCTACAACCGCCGATAACCTCGACCCATTCACCTTCCTTTTATGATTTACTGATTTTAAACATGAATTTATGAATAAATAATATCCATTATACCTTTGCAAAACATTCAATACCTTGATCGGTGTGCAAACCAGGCAATTAAAAAAACCGTAAGAAAAACCGACGAGGAAAGCTAAATTTTTATGAAAATAGAAATTATATTAAAGCTTAAACTAACTATATAACTCTATATAAATTATATTAAAGCTTAAACTAATTATATAACTTTATAACTTTATAACTATATAATTCTATATGAGGCGCAGTTTCAGCTATGTAACAGTAGTTAAAAACTAAATGTGTCTCATATAGAATTTTATTTATCCTAAATTAGTATTAACTATCCTTAACTATGCATGTATTTAAATACTAAATTAACTATTCTTAACTACGCATGTATACTAACATATCTTACATACCTAAACATCAACTTAGAATTACCATATTTATCCTTAAATCTAAGCAACTTAAAACTATCACAATACAATACCACACAGCAACAACAACACACATCCAACTAAAAACTATCTGTAGCCTAATTAAATCTAATTTAGCTTAACATCTCCACGAAAAATTTAGTGATTTATATAAATACATAATTAAAAAGAAATGAAATGAATGTTACATGAAATTCTCACAATTTATTGTATTATATGAAGTTTAAACATTTAGAATAGAAAAAATTAAAGCTCGAGAAAAAAATAACTTTGACAACAAACAATCATTATTATTGATTTTAATGACAATAAATTGGATACTCATATCTCAAAATATAGCTAATACTCTACACAGTACTATCTATTTCATTGTAATATTTATTGTAATATATTTCCCAGTTTATTTTATATATATGAAATCACACATGAAATCACTTACATTTTCATATATATAAATATATTAAATTTATAATAAAATTCTACATTCTAAAACCCATAAGAAAGTTATACCTAATAAAAAAAAATACATATTTTTTAGCAATATTTTCAGTAAATGCAGTAGCAAAGAATGCTAAAAAATAAAACCTTACACAGTATCCAGAAGGGCTACTGACAAAGAAAATCTAAAACAGTAACTAGAAGGTCTACTGACATAGAAAATCTAAAACAGTAGCCAGAAGGGCTATTGAAAAAGAAATCACGATATAATAACCAGAAGGGCTATTGCACAACTATCTATATTACGAACCCGAACAACAAATTGTATTTCGCAATTAATTTAATTTACTAATACTAATTGTAAAATAAGAAATTTTCAAAATCAAAAAGCGAAGAGTGCTTCATCATATTTAAAATTCACAAAAGTAAGTACGCAACGCTATTAATCTCTGCACTCATATTTAGAAACACGCAACACTAATTGCGACGCGTCCAGTCCAACCCTGCTGGAGGTTGCTAATGAATGACCACTGTATAGCTCTTGTAGCTGCATCAGGTAATTCGGAAGCAGAAAACTTCCACGAATCCAGTGGAAGAATGTGGACATTTTGCAAACGCAACGCTACTTCAGGAAACACGATTATTCATTATCGCAACTGACAAAGATAACTGGATATCGCGATGAAATAATATCGCAACACTAATTCTAAAATTAAATTTAATGAAAATTACGATGAACAATACAAAACAGAAAGTTAGTTCAAATATTTTAACACTGTAAAATTAATTAAAAGCAATGACGCTATAATTTAATTTAAAACAACAGAAAGCAAGATAAATTTTACTAAACAACTATAAAAATTCAAATCAAAATTGTAAAAGACAATCGCAGTATCATAATTCGTAAATCTAAAGCAAACACGGTTATCATTTCTTCGCAACTGTAATTTAAATCGTAATTAATTTCTCGCAACACTAATAAACAGGCGCGAAATTATTTTGCGACTCTAATTCAATCCGTAATCTATATTTCGCTACACTAAGAAAAACCGCGATTTGCCCAAAACTATAATAAACAATGATGGAGAAGAAAAGAAAAATACAACTACAAATACTAAAAGAGCATAGTGACAAGGTAGTAACGAGAATGACCTCCCATGCTCTGGAATCATTTCAATGATCCAGAAGATGAGAAGCCATTTGTTGTGACCCTCTTCGTGGCAGTTTGCCGGGCCTCTTCGGCTTTTAGCCTCTTCTTTCTTCGAGCGCAATGCCCGCTGAAACTTACATCTAGCTCGAGTCTTTCGCAAACCAAAAAAATAACATATAAAGGTGAAATGAAAAGATAAACCGCGGAAGCTGACTCCAATACACATGGACGATCATCGATCATAGTGATCGTTGTTCGTTCGCA